GAAACCGAGGCCCACAGGGCGGCTGGGAACCCGAAGCGAAGTCTCTAAGCCAGGCGATACCACCGTGGGTCTGCGCGGCATCATATCCCTCGCCCGTGGGTCCCCAGCGCGGTCTTGGAGATTCCATAGCCCCGGCCTCCTCTTCTGGCGCTGCACCCCGCCCCCCACCCGGGGGGGGGGACCCCTCCAGCCCTGCGAAGCTCAGGCACCCCCCTCCAAGAAGGCCACAAAAGCAGCCTCAACTGCTCTGGTCCTCCTGCGCTAGTACCCGTGTCACTCCCTCTTTCTGCAGGCTATGTTGGGCCAGGGTCGCTCTCCAGTTGTTACAGCCCTGGTGTCCCTAAAGCCCAGACTCTTTCCTGCCCCCACCTTTACCCCCCACCTCCCGCCCTTCTCTGAAGCACAGAGGGTGGCGAGAGTCATCTCTGGGAACCTCAGACACGGGCTGGTAATCCCTGCTCCTCTCTCTGTCCTTTTTCTGGAAGTTTCTAATTGACAACACCCTCATGTACAGCCCCAGCCTGACTGTGCACAGGGATCTGCCTTAGACTCCTGCAGGTGGACTTGGACTGGCCTCAGTCTGCTCCCAGAAGCCTCTCAGAGGTCCAGGGCTTGTCTAGGAGAAGCTCCAAGAACCAGAGGGGCTCCCAGTAGTCAGGTTGAGAAATTTGCTCAGGGCCAGTCTAGCCCCTAGGGCTAAGGTCTGCAAGGAGGAAAGACTTCTAAGCAGTCCTTAACCCCCAGCACAGGAAGGAGAGAGAAGGCAGAAGCCCTGTGTGCAGGTACCTGGCCTCTAATCAAGAGGAGCCAAGAACCTGAGGCAGTGATCTTCACTTGAAGGGACTCAGTCTTGTTCACCTGATAGTTTTCCTGGCTCAGGCTTGGGCCCAAAGCCTGGTCTCTTGTTCCAGCCCATCCACTGGGCTCTATGCCAAGAAGGCTGGGTCCAGTAGAGACCTGCCTGCCATTTGAGTTAACCTGAGGACCCAACATGGCTGTCACATGAGACCCTGGGGATACCAGTCCCCATCCTCCTCCTCTCTTCCTCTGATGCCTTTCCAGCCTCAGATCTGTCCCCCTTCTCAAACACACACACACACACACACACCCCTCACCCCTTACCCCTCAGTCCAGGCCCCTTCTGAGCCTGCCCCCCCTCCATTCAGGGCCCTAGCTTTCCTTAGTGAAAAGGAAACCTGACCATGCTGCCCCTGGGACCAGATGCTGGAGCTTCTCTGGCATTCCCAAAGGCCTTCTAGGAATCCATTGGTTTGTGATATGCCATCCATTGGAACTTGGGAAGCTACCTGGCTAGGGACTCCTTTCCCCAGGACCAATCTTCATTCTGGACTCTCTCCATGAGGAAGATCACTTTGAGAAGGGGTTCCCTTCTTATCTACTCCTGTTGGGTCCATTCAAGTCCTCAACTACCCTGTTGCCTTGAAGGGGCTTGGGTGCTCATGGGGCAGAAAACAACACTTGGCCTATTCTGTGGGACCTTCTTGCCCCCTAGCCCATGGTGTGGGACCAGATGATTCTTTTCTCTGTCATTTCCATTCTGGGGCCCAACACCCTTCCATCAGATTTCCCCACATGTGGCCTGGCCTCATGTACCTCATCCAGAGAATGAAAATTCATTCTGACACAGTGCTCAGAGTCTGGGCAGAGCCCCATTTCTCAATGTGGGGAAAAGCTGTGTCCTGGTCAGGCAGGAATTAGTGTGACTCAACTCCACTGGCCCCAGAATGGCCATAGGAGCTGGCGCTAAGGAGCTGGTGAGGGAACTGCCCCACACATTCCTAGCCAAAGCCGGTTACTGGGAAGTAACCAGTAACTCTGTTGGTCCTGTGTCATCTGTCAGGCACCCTGGCTCAGACCTCCAGTGGAAGTTGTTGCTCGAGATGGGGCACACTCAGGTTTTTACACGTGAGCGGGGAAGGGAATGGTCTTAAGGTGCTACCCCCACTCCTGTGGGTGCCTGTGCTTGTCCTGGACAACCCACACCACTTAGACAAAGCCTCAGTTTGCCTGGATGACCCCTTACCAGCCACCGCAGCCATTTATGCACCTGGGCTACCCTGTAGAAAGAGTGAAGGGCATGGGACCACACAGAACATGGCCACTTAACCCTTCTTGGACCTGGGATCCCTGGCAGCTTCTAGCTTCTAGATTTGGGCCTTCTATTCCCTGTCTCAGCCCCAGGCAGGCTTTGAAGGCTACAGGGGTCCGCCCTTCCTTCCGTCCAGGCCCTGGCTCCTCAGGACACACAGTGGGGCCAGCTGGGCCTTCTCCTGCTCCAGAATTCCGTTCTCAGATGACCCGCCCCCACCCCACCTCTTGGCCCTTTGTTCCTGCCCAGGATGCACCTGGGCGGCCTCTGGCCCTCATTGTTCGCTCTGGGGCCAGCTGAGCCTCATCAGGGAGCAAGACCTACTAGGACCAGCACCATGTACCAGCTGGCTCCCGAGAACCAACCAAACCTCAGGTGCTCAACTTTTCATCCTGTGAGCCGGGGACTTCACAGGGCTCCAGTTTATCCTCAGTTGAAATGAAAAGGCCAGAATCATGTCAGAGGAAACAACAACTCCACAGTGACACCAGGTCTCCACTCAACCTTGTAGGAAGATGCTCTTCCACATCTGCTTCTGGCCACATAGAGACCAATAACAACCCCACCCCCCAAGTGTGCTGGTCTGAGGTCTCGGTGTAGGTGGAAGACAAGACCTGGGGGCAGTGTGGCTGTGGCTTGGTCTATGGTGGGCAATGATAGTCCTCTGCTCCCCTTCAGGCCAGAGGTCATCCTTTATCCCCTGGAGGACCACCCCAGCCTCCTCCCTACTCTCCCACATGAGGATGCTTGGGGGACCCCACTTTGTAGACGTGGGAACAGTTCTGGCATATTGCAAGTGTTGGTGCACCAGGGGAGGACCCTGGAATGGCTAACTCCTGCTCAGCTTAGTGCATCCTGCAGAAGCCCCATGGGACATGGACCAATGACCCCAGCTCCTGAGGCTGCATGGTCCCCTCTGGACCTCTTCCCACATTGGGCCCTGCAGATACTTTGTTGGAGCAAGGATGGGCCCTCCCAAGCCTTGATCTGGGGAGGGTGTAGTCAGGCTGTCAGCCCGCTCTCCTCAGGCCCCACCTTGTGCGCCCAGGAAGGCCTTCTCCTCTCCCAGCTCTACCTGCTTTTCCACAGATGCCTTGACCTGCTGCTATTTGAGCTCCAGCTGGCAACCACACTAGCCCTTACCCATCTGACCCAAATCATGTTGAGACCTATCCCATCTGTCATTGTCCCCATGAGAGGGACAATCAGAGACAGCCTGGGGCTAGATGTCATCTGGATGGGGTCAGAATTGTCCACTGGGTACCACTAGGGCCTCTGGCAGTTGCTCAGAACTCCAGATCCTTGAGGTGGCCCTGTCTGGCTCTCTTAAGAACTTGTCTCTTTTCATTCATGAAATGCTCAGTGAGGTTCTGGAACCTCATTTCAACTTTCCTCTTCAGAAGTGCTGCAGGCCGTGTTAGCTCTAAGCTGGGGGCCACAAAGGTGCTCGCCAATGTGAGGCTGGTGCTCCACAGACTTCCCCTTCATGTGGCATGTATAAGGTGACAAGATGGTGTTGGGACCTCAGGGACTGAGTGCCCGGGCCCTCAGCTCAAGCCCCAGAAGTGGCAGAGAAAGCCAAAAATAACAAAATGACTGTACTCAGAAACAGAGTGGGCTCGAGGTTTTGTTCAGGAGGGAAGAGGCTTAGCAGTGCAGGACTTGGGTTCCACCCCCAGTATTAAAGAAAAAAACACACAATCAAAAGTTTCCTGGTTGCCTCTGGGTAGTAACAGTAGTGGTGGTGGTGTGTGTGTTACTAGGGCTTGACTTCTGTAGCTTTTTCACTTCAGGCTAGCACTCTACCACTTGAGCCACAGCTCCACTTCTGTTTTTTTGCAGCCTCATGAGAACCGTAAGCCAATGGCATGCAGCTTGGAGAGTGTATTATGACTGTATTTCCGCCCCCCTCTGTAATTTCATCTATCCTGAAAATTATTTAAGATACAAGATTTCTAAAAACTGGTATGTCTGGGCTGTGTTGGCATTCCTGGGTCACAGGACCTGCCACAGAAACCGTGTGCTTATCCGGGCAGAGTGAAACCTCTGGTGCCACTCCCACACCAAAGACCTGCCTGGCCCACAGGCCAGGGCACCACACGCATATGCCACCTCAGCCTGGTCTCTCGAGAGGATTTGGCTGCCAGCCTGCCTGGATTGCCAGTGCCTTCTCAGAGCCAGCCTCAAGGGCTCTGGATTGTCAGAGGGGCCGCAGGGAGCAATGACAAACTATGAGCTGGTGTGTTTCAATAGTTTTAATACATTCAAGAGTATTTACTGAACAAAATAACAAATTATCATCAGTCAGCAGAAATCTGTGATAGAAATAGAAATGTAACTGGCCCTTTTGCAATAAAGCTTGTGCTTGAAGGGAAAAAGAGGCAAAAATGACTCCTAGAGGCTTCATAGCAGGTGCCCTTTAAAGGGGGGCACCTCCAAACATCACTTTTAAACACACATGACCCTGGCTTGCCAGGTCCACAGAGCAGTGTTGGAAGAGCCTATTAGAAAAGGCAAGAAGCAGTGCTCTGGAGCCTGTGCCTTTGTGGACCATCACTGCAAGGGTGGGAAGCTGGATCCACACCGGGCAGAGTCCTCTAGACAGGCAGGGTCGGGATGGTCCTCGCAAGTCCGCTCTCTGCTCTTCCTGCTGCTCTCAGGATTAGGCTGGGCCCTTGGATTCCAGAACAGAAATGCTATCTGTATGGACAGAGCCCACTGCAGGGCCTTCCTCAAAAACCTTCCACCCTGCCCCGCCTGCTCACTACTTCACCCAATTGTGAACTGTATGCCCAGAAAAAAACACATCTTCCTACTCATAGGACAAAACATCCCACTCATGACATAATAAATAAACAAAAACATGACTTGGGGCAGGCAGTGGACTGGCTTCCCTGACAGCAATGAGAACAGAGGCAAAACTGAGTAGGATCAAGGGGAGAAACATTCAGAGATGATGGTTCTCCACAAATGGTCACTCATGCTGACTGCCAACCGCCACAGCAGAGCAAGAGGACAGAAAAGGACTTGACCAGGAAGGGCTGGCCCTGCACCAGGGGTCTTTTCTGGAATGACCTAGGGCTAGGCATTTCTTTAACTGAAAATGGGCATTCACAAGGGAGCCCCCTGCCCGTGGGGACTGTAGTCTAAATGGACATGTGAGGACATTCAAAGGTACATGGCAGCTACCACTTACCTTGTGGTGAAATCTCACAGGTCTCACATACAGACACACAGCCCACCCCCTAATAACCATACATGTGTCAAAATCCTAGTTTAAAACATATGCTTGAGTGGTTTAGCCCTGGCCTGCATGTGTCCTGGGTGGGTGTCCTGGGTGTTCCTTCTTGTGTCCATCTAGCTGACGGAGCTGTGACAGGTCCACAGAAGGCCAGTCTTCCTTGTGTCCATCTAGCTTATGGGGCTGGGTCCACAGGAGGTCAGTCTTCCTTGTGGTGCTTTACTGTTACCAAATACACTGTGTTCTGGAAGTTACAGGTGTCAAACAACAGCCACTGGATCAGGAGTGTGCCTGACATGGGCTCCCAGCTTCTAAAACAGGCTGCTGAGTCTCAGCCTGAAAGTCACCAACAGATCACCCGTGAGTAAGGGGTGCAGGCCCAGCACCTGGGAGGGCGGGCCGCAGGCACAGGGTTCGGCCATCCTGACAAGGGACTAAGGCACTGTCTAAGTTTCTTCCCAGGAGCGAGTCTCAATGCGCCAGCACAGGCTGAACCTCCGGCTTCCTAAAGCACATCCTTTGCCTCCTGCTACTACTTATTCCACAAAACCTTGCTGTCCACACCAACACCCAAACTGTGTTTTATTCCTATGCTTATTAAAACAATTTAACTTTGGTTCTAACAGAATAGGAGCTATTTTCCCAAATATTGCTTATAATAAAACAAACAAAAATTTTAACTAGGGAAATGCCTTGTGACCTGTCCTTTGTGGGGCTGGAGACAGGTGGCCAGGCTCCCGGCCAGGGCCCTGCCTCCTGCTTCTGGAAGACCAAAGCTGGCAGCAGTGTGGACTCATCCAGCTGTGGGCTCTTCACTCAGGCTGAAACCTCCTAAACCACAGCGACCCAGCGAGCGAGGCCTGGCACATGGAGCAGTGACCATCTCACTTGCAGTGAAGGGCTGAGGCTGGATGTGCCCCGGTGCTGAATGCAGACACCTGCCAGGCCTTCATTTTCCTCCTGGCTCCCATTCACACCTCTGAGGGGACCCACTTGATGTCAGGTAGAAGCTGTGGCTTAAAAGCTTTCACTGGCCCATGGGCAGCCCCCTCCCCCAATTTAATCCCACTCCCCCAAGTTCAGCTGGGTACCAGCCTCGCTGTGTTTATTCCCCAGGGTGCCAATGCAGTCAATACTCTGCAGAAAGAAGCAGCTGGGTGTCACACCCACGCTCGGGGTGAGCTGGCCTCGTGGGGGAGCTCTGTGCTGTGCTGAGGGCCACACAGCCCGAGTTCTCCCGACTCAGAGGCCTTGGGCTGAAGCGCCCACACTGCAGGGCAGCCCAGAAGTCGCAGAAAGCTTTAGGAGTGCAGAGCTAATGGCATTGGTGTCGCCTGGTAACTGCAGAGGTCCCAGCTGGTAGTAGATCTGCCTTGGTGCTCAGGTTTCAAAGTACTTGTAGATGGCAGTCACATACAGCATCACATTTTGCCAATCCGGCCGCTCAGTCCGTACCATCTCATTAATGTCCTGGCAGAGAGAAGAGGCTCAGTTAGGGCTGCAGGTCACCATCTGGCCCATCCCAACTGTAAAGGAGTTTTAGTCTAAGCCTGATTGTCCCTTTTATACAATGGCCCTAGGCAGTGCCTCCTGCCCTTACCAACCTATGCGAGGCAGCAGAGAAAGGCTTAAAGGCTGTTTTCAGTGCAACAATCTTGACTATAAGGTTTCTTAGGGTTGGGAGACTGCACATTTTTTTTTTTCTTCCAGTCCTGGGGCTTGAACTTGAACTTGCTGTCCCTGAGCTTCTATGCTCAAAGCTAGCACCACAGTTTTACTTCTAGCTTTTTGTGGTAAACTGGAGATTAAGTATGAATGTAACTTTGAACCACGATTCTCAGATTTCAGCTTCCTCAGTAGCTAGGATTACAGGCGCGAGTCACCATGCCCAAAGACTGCCCACTTTTTATATGAGAACTTTCCATGTGTGATGTGACAGCAAAGGGACATCCTACAATACTGGTGGTTTCTTTCCTTAGATAGCCCAACAGGGGGCATCTGAGCAAGCACATCTCCAGGGATTTACAAGACTCATAGTGGTGAACACTCATGTAGCATACATAATTGACTACAAACACTTTCTCAAGGCCCACACAGCTGTTACTAATTAGGGTGAGTGGCACCCAGGGATGGGGAAGTGACCCTAGAGGGCAGAAGGGGTACCCAGGTAACATTCTGTGGCTTAACCTGATTACACAGGGGTCCCTTCCTGAGCTGTGCACTGTGCTCTGCGCACTGTGCTCTGGGCTGCAGCACTGAGGCTGGTCCTGCCCTCTCCATCTACATCCACAAAAGGCTATGACCTTTGACACTTATTAAATGGATGACATTTTTTTCCCCTGAACTTACCTGAGTGCTTCCTGAGGGTGCACAGGGACAGCAGCTGAGCTCTCTGGAAGCATCCCACACAACAGGACCCTCCCCCTTGGTGCTAGTCCACAAAGAGGCCCCTCACCCAGTGACCACCCTCTGAACCAGGAACCCTGCCAGTGACTCCTACAGAACACAGGCTCACCAGGGTGGATTTGATCCCGACACTTTCAGCTGCCTGGAAGGCCAGTGTGAAGTTCCTCTTCTGTAAAAGAAATCATGCTGTTGCAGTATATGCCAGTGCAAGGAAGGTTACATAAAGCACAGACCCCACTGACACTTGGGGTCAAAATAAACCTATGCGCATTTGCCAAGTACCACAGGGATAGCCTCTTTTTCTAGCCAGCTCTTCTTCCTTCACCCAGAAAGACTCAGTTCTGACATGCCATCCCTGAGCTGCCTGGATCCATACGGCAAAAGCTAGAAATATATATTTCCCAAGCGTCTTTTGTCCCAATGGGGGTCTTCTAGGGCTATTTGTAGGGCCGAAGCTGCCATGGGAGACTCAAGGGTACTAGGGCAGGGGGTCTTGTTCTGTCACCTGACCAGCACCTAGATAAGATGTCCTAGTACAGTGTTTTGTTTTTTTTTTTGGGTCCGGTCGTGGGGCCTGAACTCTGGGCCTGGGCGCTGTCCCTCAGCTCTTCAGCTCAAGGCTAGCGCTCTACCACTTGAGCCACAGCGCCACTTCCAGCTTTTTTCTTTTTGCTTATGTGGTGCTGAGGAATTGAACCCAGGGCGTCATGCATGCAAGGCAAATGCTCTACCACTGAGCCACCTTCCCAGCCCTGTCCTAGTACAGTGTAAGCTATCAACAAAAGTCCTAGTCCTGAGGACCCAGGAGACTGCCTGGCATCTCAAAACATCAACTTCCATGGCCATTTCTTGAAGCTATGGACACTGGGAATAGTGTCATGTGCAGAATTCTGAATCAGCCACATGTTCCACACAGGGTGAGTTAGGGATTGGCTGACTGAGAACACAGGACCAGTCCCAGGATGAGACAAATTCAAGACAGGTCTGTCATGAGACAAGGCCATGGTATGTGGGCTGCTGACAGAGGGCGTTGCCCCTCGTGCCCGCTTTGAGCCGGCCCTCCAGGGGTCTGCCTTACCTTATCCTGGCTGTTCAGCTCTTGATATGGAATGTGGGCAGGAAGGTATGTGTGCAGGAGTGCGCAGAAGGCCAGCCCATCGTTCCAGCTGCTGCTGAAGTTTGTGATGTCGATATTCTGAGGGAAAAGAAAAAGGTGTATGCTGTAAACACTGTGATTCTCAAGCGTGTACAAGAGAGTCGGACAGGCCTCCGAAACACAAAACCAAACCCCAGAGACAGTGAGCTGTGGAGAAACCACAACATGTTGTGGGCCATGTCTCAAGCCCCACTTGGTGTCCATGACTGGGCCTTTTATGGATTCCCCATCCCGCCCACCAGCTGCTGCCCCTACATGGTCACATCTGCACTTGTGACATAATTTATCGGCTGCTCCATACTTGAGAAGTTTCTGCCAGGCCTGGCTGTAGTGACAATGTAGATTGTCAGAGGTGGGTAACAACCAATGAGGCTTATAAAACACTGTTTCTTAAAATGCAATTCATTCTTCACTGTTTGTCAAGCACTTACAAAGATCCTCAAACTGGACATGGTGACACATGCCTGCAGGTTGGAGGCTGAAGTAGGAGGATCATCAACTCCAGGCCAGCCTGGATTATATGTAAGTGAAGCCCTGTCTCAAATAACAACAACAACATTGTCTTAGATTGTGTGTATCTCAGTGTGTTCAGAATGCCTTCTGTCCACTCGGAATGCCAACATAGGAGCCCAGTCAAGACCCAATGCACTTGCAGTTAAAAAATAATTTTAATGCTGGGTTGCATAATCCCCATGCTATACCAAGAACCACCGTAAATTCTTTTAAGAGGCCCCTTATCCAGGGTCTAAATGAAAGATACTTGCAACCACGTAAGAAACAGATATATCATGCTTTTATTCCACTGAAACTCAGCTGGTATGTAGTCTTTACCCTTATTTGCAAAAGTCTGTTTGCAGATAAAACTACACATTTCAATCTGGGGAATTCACACGCTTTATGTAAAGGATACAAGTGGAAAAAGCACAGTGTCTGCCCCCAACACTTCTTGTTTCCCGCCTCACTGTTTACTTTCCACTTCTTTCAACCGCGCTGAGAGTCAGCTGCCGGCTGACTGAGAAAGCCCAGATCTCATTTAAGTCCGAGCTGCACTTACTCCTTCCAGAAATGAGTAATCTGCCAAATAACACCATCATTATTCACAGTCCCATGGAGTTTTACAAAGTTTACAAAGCACTTTGCCATTCTCAGCCTTTCTTTATAAGCTGATAGCACCTAATGCCAAGTAGGGGAGCAAGCTCAGAGATGAGGGTCAGGCAGGGATGGAGGGACGAAAAGTGGGGGACAAGGGTGTGTTCATGGAGAGCCAGCCAGCCAGTCCTCCCGGGGCTTCGTGGCTCTGGGCAGTCCCTTCACAGAGCGGCACTGGCTGCCTCCTCACCAGAGGCAGCATCCCAATGAATGTGTCACCTCGCTGCAGCTGCTCCTATGCACCGCATTCCCCCCTGGAAGCACCTCTTCTGCATATGAGCCCACAAAGGGCAGTGGCTCCAAGAACAAAGGTTACTTAGGTCATTTTCTCTTGTGAACCAGCATCTCCCATCTGACTACGGAGGAAAGAGGCCACATGTGGAGGTACAGAAAAAGGTGGTGACAGCTGGCAGTGGGCAGGGTGCTGTGCCTCTGCTGGGAATGATAGGTTCACTTGCATGGGGTCGATCAGCCTTCCCCAAACAATACCTAACCCTGCACATCCCCCATTCCCCATCTCAGGGTCCCAAGATGTCCCCTTGAAATAAACGGTATATGACAGCTGCTGCCGACTGAAGAACCCCAAGAAGTGCCATGCAGGCACACAATCTAGGTGGGCATGGCTGCCTCTCTTAGCTCATCTGATTCTCAGGACTTAGCCAGCTAGGGCAGCAGGCTCCATCTGGGAGAAGCCAGGCCCTGGGAGATGGGGTAACGCAGCAGGGAAGGCAGGGACGGGAGCCCTGAGAGCCCAGGGTGAAATGAAAATGCAGGCCCTTGTTCTGAATGCAGAGGAAAACCATCAATTAATGGTATTAATATGAAAGGATTCTCCCCCCTCCCCCAGGGGTGAAGTCCATCACCCCAGCCCCAGGCCTCTGGCAAGTGCTTGTAACAAAGCAGCTGATGAAGGAGGCTTGGAGCAAGGGGCAGGGCAGGATGCCCTTAATCACATGTGGCGCTCCCCATGAGGCCAATGGCAGCACCTCTCTCGAGGTCACATTTGCTTCTGGAGGAAGACAAAGCTCCTCTTCCTGTCACAGGGCCCCTCCGCTCTGGACCGGAGGCAGCCCCCCCAGGGTCGTGGACGTGCCTGGTCTCACTGCCTCACAGCAGAGGCTCCGGTGCCCTGGCTGAGGCCCCATTTCCTCCAGACAAGCCGGGCCCTAGCCCGGAGAAGCTGCTTTCCCGAACCTCCAGAAAGAGGTCATGGGCCATGGCCCTACCCCCGGAACCCAGAGGACATTAACACGGTATTCAACGACAACTTCATTTCAGATCCCAAACAAAGCCTGATGTCAGGCTGGCTGCATCACTTCCTCCCTTCCCCCGCAGGCTGCAGAGGAACAGGGCAGAGGACAGGTAATGTGGGGACCAGGGACTCCCAAGGCCATTTAGCATCAAAGCCGAATGCTCACTTGTGCGTATGCCTCCTATCCCTCCTTGAAGGCTCCGAAGAGGCTGGAAAGCCTGGTGGTGGGACTGTTTTTCAGGGGGACACCTGAAGCCTGAGGGAACAGCTCCTGCTCCCAACCCAATGGTCACCTCCCCTCTCCATGTTCTAGCTCAAGCCTAGCTACTAATGAGATGAAATCCACTAGGTCCAAGGGTGAGAAGATAGGATCAGTGCTAGAAAAAGCAGCAAGGAAGCCAGGCAGCCCTCCCCTCTCAGAGAAGAAATCCACTGAAGGGGATAGAACCCATCCAGAGTCAGCAGGGAAGCAACTTCATTTACCCCACCCTCAAAAGGTCACCACTGCCCATCTACTACCTGCTTTTAAACCTGGACTAGGAGTGGGCGCCTAGCCCCCAGGGGACAGAAGTGTGGGTAGAGGGCCCTGGGCCACTGAAGGTGGCCCCCACAAGTGGCCTCTTGGCATTTTCTCACTGCCTGGACCTTACAGGATAGCCTGGTGTCCTGTCCCTGCCCCTCAGGTCAAAGCCAAACTGTCATTTTATAAGCAAGGGGCATGAGTGCACATAGGTGAACCCTCCTGGGGACAGATCAAGTGTTCACTTCCGCTCTTCTTGACAAGTGAGGAATAGGAAACTTTTTGTGCCACGGGGATAAAAACTCTAACTATATAGCGCCAACGTAACACTTGTGGGAAGGGTGTGGGCCAGACCCAATACTTCCTGGGCACGTGACCCTGGCTCAGTCCTGGGCTTCTTCTAAAGTGAACGTATAAACACCACCTACACATGGTGAGTCGCTAAGCTCTGCACCCTGTGCAGTGCCCAATGGGGTCTTACAAGTTTCCAGGGTGCCTGGCCACAGATAGTACCTACCACATCTAACACGAGCCACACAAGCCCTGGACGCCCAGGCTGCCCTGCCCAGCTCCCCAAGACACAATGGATCCTGTAAACCTCCACCTGCCCTCAGAGGAAAGAGGGATGCAGCCACTGGCCACTGTGTATGCTTCACCTCTTCCTCTAAAATCCCAAAGTGCTCCAAAAGGGTCTGCAGCAGGACCAGCATGGACTCCTCATGTGGACGGATTGCTGCAGGTCTGAAGAGGCTTTACAGAACCCACATAAACACAGTCAACAGCTGAATTCGGGTCTGTGGCCCAAGAACAGACTCTTGTTGAATGTGGCCACAGCCATGCACAGAAGCCTGCTGGGAGAGGGCTGGGACCAATGGGCATTGGCCCATTCAGTGGATCCCACCCAGAGCCACTACGTCCTCAACCAGACTCTGTAGAACAGAGTTTGCCCCGGGGATCTGACACATCTGGGGCTCCAAAGAGAAACATTGTTGGCTTGGGATCAGAAAAGTCAAAGGTAGAAAAGGGGTGGGGTGGCTGAGGTTGGGCCAGGGATCCAATGGTAACAGCAGAGGTTTGAGGCAGGTATGAGCTGGAGGGTAAGTTAGGGTGCAACAGAGATATTTAGAAGCTAAAGTAAACTCATCTGGTGACAGACGGGACACATCAGGGGGTATTTACTCTGCTCTGGAAGCAGATTCACTGGAGAAATTCAAGCAGACAAGGAGGAACATTTTAGGCAAAGTTTGAGGGTCTCCTGAGACAGTGGCATTGACACAGTATAGAGAGGAAGAAAAGCAGGTGCCATCAGTATCCTGGTCCCACTGAGGATGGGGCAGCAGGTAGTTAAAAGGAAGTTCACAGCTACATTGCGGAGAACAGCTTTTGCCACAAAATGGAGGGCAGGGGGGACAGAGAGCAGGGAGAGGAACTAACTAGAAGGCAAAAGAAGAGAAGGGCTGGGTGTTGCCCAGTAGCAGAGCACTTGCCTAGCATGTGGAAGACTCTGGGATGAAAAATTAAGAAAATAAAAAGCAGAGAAAGAGAAGAGAGATCAGCAGATGCAGTAATGCTGCTGAGAGGGCAGGAGGACTTAAAAAAAAAAAAACCCTCCCCAAATTAGTAACAATTGGGTCACATTAACCACAGCCAAGTAACGGCAAATGAAAGGGAAAACGGCCACCAATCAGGTTTAAGAAGCACAAAGTAGATGACTTACAGTAGTGCTAGATGGACTGAAGTGTGGCTCAGGGATAGGACCTTGCCTAGAATGTACAAGAACACGGGCTTTATCCCCAACACAATAAATATATAAACAAACCAGCTAGCCCACTTGCCTGCCGACTGCTGATAACCCCAGCTTCCTAGGTAGGAGGTAGGTAGAATCCAGGAGGACCACAGTTTGAGGCCAGCCTAGGCAAAATGTTGATAAGACACTTCCCACTCCAAACCAATACAATCTGGGTACACCTGTCATCCCAGTCACGTGGTAATCTTAAATAGGAGGATCACAGACCAAGCTGGCCTGGGCATAAATGAGACTCTATTCAAAAATTAATTAAAGTAAGCCATGGGCCTACTGACATGACATCTGTCTAGCAAACATGAGGCCCTGAGTCT